GAGCCTGTTCCCTTGTTAGTTTTAGATCCATCCGTATACTATACGAGACCACTAAGCAAATACTTATCTATCTCCTTATTTACCTCGTTGCAATTACAGTTAACCTGGAAGAGTCTGTTAAAGGTTAGGAGGGGTGTCATGTGATCTGATCCCATATATAATATAGAATCATTTACTTCATGTGTTATTTTGGTATGTTTTATAAGTCCCAGTGAGTTCCAGTTGTTGGAGATTTCCAGTCTGTATGCACTCATTCTGGCCTCCCCCTTTATGACTAGGTCAAGGGGTGGGAGGTTAGAATGATTTCCATAGAGGCTGTCGGTGTACTTCTCAGTACTCCTGTAATACAAAGGCATGCCAGCCTGTGTACTCCTGAGAAGGTATTGAGGGCTGTTTTTTTGTTTACTTTTGGCTATCAAACAACCGCTCCATAAGTTATTATGGGCCTTGTTATTGCCAAATATAGGCAGTGGATAATTTTTAGTTTTAATCCCCATGTTTTTCCAAATGCCTGTCTCCCTACAATGAGAGCCATTTTACATTTGTTGGTCACTTTTTGTAAGTGTTGGTTCCAAGTAAGTTTGCTATCTAGGATTAGACCCATATATTTTACTTGGTTTGTTTTGTTTAGCCTTCCTCCAAACAGAGTCGGAGTTTCTAAAACCTCCAACCTTGTTTTCTGAGTAAAGGTTATGAGTTGTACCTTGCCAGGGTTTACCAAGAGGTTTTCCCTAACAGATACAGATACTCGATTGCGATTCTACTATAATGATATGTATAAAAACAGAAAGGGAACCATCTTCTCCCATCCTATTATTTATGTTTAAAAAGAATAATCATACATTTTTCCTGTTCCGATATCGGTTTTTTTTTGTTTATACAGGGTGTCCCGGAACTCCCATCCAAAATGGAAACCTCAGATATTCGACTTGATTTTATGTCGATTTACCCTATATTAACTTAATCCGAAAATCATTAAAGTTAGCGCCTTATATTTAATCTCTCGCTCTGACTGTCCTTTCTTTATTATTCTTACTTTTTGGTTGAACCGTACCGGAATTCAGGTACGCTCTATAAAAAAAAGTTTTGCCGTTTTACATTAATATAGTACACACATAGAACACACCATAATATCGTAACATATTAATTTATTATTCATAATTGAAAATAAATACAATTCAACTAATAATCACCAGCTTTACGAGCATCGAAGAGTCTATTAGTTTAAAATTAAATGAAAATACTAATTATTAATTATTGTTAACATTCATTAACCAGAACGTAACAGATTAATAAATAATAATGCAGTATGAAACTTAATTAACGAAACAAACGAATGTGTATTTTATTTAAATAAAAGGCGAATTTCAAATATATGAAATATATTTTGTATAATTTTGAATGTAAAACTATATATAACATTCTGGTGTTACACTTTTAAACTCTTTATTTCTGTAATGTACCATCTTTTTTAAATTAAATTGTTTTTTTTTTTCAGGTAAGAACAAAATACAAAAACAACCAGTCAATCTTCGAAATGTAGGTAAGTGAATAATAATCGTTTTTTAGTAAAATTATTACAACAATGTTATTACTATAAATTATTACATTAAAATTATTATAATAGAATTTTTACAATAAAATTATTACAATGAAATTATACAATAAATTATTACAATAAAATAATTACAATAAAATTATAACAATAAAATTATTACACTAAACTTATTACAATAAAATGTACAATAAAATTGAAGAGCAAAACTCCAACATCTGAAATAAATGAGTTATTGCGCAAGATCACTTTAAAATGCTAAAACTCAACAAGTCCCTAACAATTTTACATCAAAATTAGACAAAATTATGTTTTAAAGGTACTATAAAACTCCTATTATTCAACAAAACTAAACAAATTACGTTCTTATAAAACATACTATTTTTTAACAAAACTCAACATTTATCCATATGTTATTAAATTAAAAATAAACCCCTTCACCGCAAAATTAAACAAGTATTTATGTACGTCCCTGTATTAATATGATTAATATTCTATTAAATACCGAGCAAAAGTTTAATGTAAAGATACAAGAATAAGCTTTCAGAATTTCCATAACTATTTGCCAGGTATGCAAAACTGAACAAGTCTAAACTGTTTATTTGTGTTCTAGAAACTGCTTGCAATTTTTCAATTTTTTTTTTATTTAAAACTCAAAATGTATTCCAAAACTATTTCTTTTGAAATCAAAATTTTAATTAAATGGGAAATTGCTCTAGGGATAATATAACTTTTCTGAGAATTAGGTTATGCTGGACTTATTATGTTGTGCGCGTCAGCTATTCAATTATTACAATAAAATCATTACAAAAAAATTATTAAAATTAAATTATTACAATAAAATTATTACAATAAAATTATTACAATAAAATTATTGCAATAACATTATTGCAATAAAATTATTACAATAAAACTAATACAATAAAATTATTACATTTAAATGATTACAATATTTTTACAATTGTAATGGTGAAGCACAGCAAACATGTAGATTTGTTGGCCAAAAAAGGCTCTGTAACAGGTTCTAATACGTCATATAATTTATCTGTTTCTGATGTCACTGCAATATTAAAAAGAAATCAATTCAATCAATGGCAACACTTGTGGCAGGTATATTGTTTTACAAACCCAACGAGGCATACGACTCTTCAGTTAAACATTCCTAAGATCCCTTGGTATAAGCATTATAAAATACCGCGAAAGTACATATCGACAATGATTAGGATGAGATTTGATCATGCCTGTTATCCTAGCCATTTATACAAAATTAAAGTCTCTGAAAGTGACTAATGCGAGACGTGTAATGAAAAAAGAGATCTGAACCATATCTTCTTTAATTGTACTAAAAACAAAAAATTCTCTGACAAGCTATATAACGACCTGCTTAAATGCAAAATATGCTCCCCTTGGAATATCCAAAGTTTATTGTCCTCCAATTCCACAAACATTTATGAATGCTTGATTAATTTTTTAATGGAATCAGGTATACGCTTGTGATTAGTAATTCTCTTAGACTCGTTACCTTTGTTTTCTTTCCTATTGTTTTATTTTACCCTCTTACCGTGACCTAGTGTATGTCTGTTTTTTTGTAATGCCTAGATGGATCCCTAGGAGAAAAGCGAGTGTCCCCGTTTAATCCTCTTGTTATTTGAAATGAAATATTTAATGATTTACCTCTTCCATTTTGTGACTGGCTGTATGACAAAAGAGTCTATGCAAAAAAAAATTAATATTAGTCCACAGTACGTCCACTACTGCTTTGGTTGATTGCCATATATTTTAAATTTCGTTAGTGGCATTATTTTTATGAGTCTACCACACTTTTTCACTGCGACAATTAACTGAAACGCTACGTTTTCTATTACGCAACATCCGAAAAGTAGATTTCAAGATGATATGTAATGTTATGTTATGTTGAGAATGGGGTGTTAATACACTGCGACCTAAAAGATCTATTATGTCCCCTTCCTTCGCCACTGCACTAAGGAAATGTCTCAATGCCTATAGCGACCCTTCCAATCCTATTTTCTTAGGGAAGTGTAGGATTTGAAGTGGCTTCAAGTTAGGTAAATCTTCTATTTGATATCCTCCTAGATATAGTGCCCTTGGATTCTGGAGTGCTACACATTCAGTTAGGATGTGAATGAAGGTTTTGTCTTCCTCGTCACAGAATCTGCACTCACTATCCTCTACTACTCTCAGTTTACTTAGGTGTCCTTTTAGTCGGCAATGCCCGGTAAGAATCCCTGTTACAATACGTAGCCTGTTCTTGCTCAGGCAGATGCAGGCTTCCGATCTTTTCTGGTTATATTCACCCAGAAGTATCGTAGCCTATCTCATCCCCAGGAGATTGTTCCAATTATCGGTTCTTCTACTGCCCAATTCTTTTTTAATCTCTCCTAATATTATGTTACTGCTGATACCGCAGAACGGCTCAGGTCCTACAAATAATGTTTGGGCCCCTTTCATTGCAAGACTATCTGTAATATCGTTACCCTGTACCCCGTTATGTCCCGGGACCCAAGTGAGAGTAACTCTATTTTTCTCGCCTAGCTCATTCAATTGTTCTAGGCATCTCCAGACCCATTTTTGAGCTGATTACGTAAGAGCTCAGCGCTTTGATGGCTGCTTGACTATCGGACATGATGATAATCTCTTGTCTATGATAGTTTCTCTTGATGTTAAAACTGGATACACTTCTCGATGGCGTGAATTTCCGCCTGAAAGATGCTTGGGTATTTTCCCAAGCGTTGGGAGTGCTTGGTTCTCGGCCCATACACTCCTATTCCAGTTCCTTCTATGATTTTGGAACCGTCCGTATACCACTGAATAGCACGTCCTTCGGTTGCAATCGCGATGGATTCTTGGCTCCATTATTTCTTGCAGCCCAGCTCTGTGGTTTTGAAGTTTTTCTCAAAACTGTACTTCTTTTGCATTTCATCCTGGAGCATGTCCCAGGTATCCTTAGTTCTGAAGCAAGTAGACTTTCGTCTGATTACTCCGTTCCTGATGATATGATGATATGTAATACAATAACCACATACAAATAAAAGATCATTTGATAATAAATACAAAACAGGGCTTAACCGACAGAATTAATCTGGTGATCGATGAGTCCATCAGCTGCAACATGTCAGAATAAAGAGGTAATGTTTTCTTATTACCACATAATTATTTTTCGCAGGATTCAATCGATTATAGTGACCGCCAAATAATTTTTTCAGTCAGACGACCTGAATATATTATGTCACTTTTAAGATGTGTACATACCTATTACTTGCTTGATTTCCTTCTTTACCTAATTTTTTAATAGCTCTGCCAATGAAGCTGTCTCTTTAATATATAGATTATGACATTAGTCTCCGCTTGGTACGATCAAACAAATGATAATGAAAGTCATCTTGAGAATAAACTCAAATGAAACAAATAATATAAAATATAAATCGTTTATTTTCAAAATGTACAAAATAGAAGATGGGAAAATCGATTCAAATAACGAATCCTATGGAACATTGAAGTATGTGCGGTGTAGTTTTTAAAAAAGTTTAATAGTCATAGATGCTTCTGTAGTAAGGAACTGATGAATAGTAAGGTTGGTTTATTAAACCGTAACTATAAGGTACTGCCGAGTATGAATAATGTCTCACAGCGGGAACTGAATAGGTAGTATATCCTGAAAAAAAATATATATATGTATTAAAATCGGCACATTATCCTCCTTGCTTCAAAAGTTTCAACTTTACTTCAACACTTACTTAATAATATTTTTTTAGATTAGGCATAATATTTAAATTGACTTGTTTAAACAGCTGTTTTAAACTAAAAACAATTTAGAATATTTAAATTTATAAATTTAATAAAATGAAAATATATTTAAAGAAATTTATTTTTGAATAGTTTTGGATGCAAATTTCCTTATTGAGTTTGTCTTTCCTTAAACAATGAGAGTCGTTAGTACTTATGGTGAAAGCTAGACTGATTTGTAAACAATTATCTAATTCTAAATACCAAAATCTACTGGTTAAAATTCCTTCTCAACAGATTATTTTTAAAACAAAAGGTAAATTATTTCGAGATGTGGCTTTAAAATTTAAACGTAAAATGTTAGATTGAAAGATTTATAATCATGGTTGTATTTCAGGTTTGAATTGTTCTAATAATTTACTACTTTTTTTGTAAAGTATTCCAGTTGTATAATTTTGTTTCATTTTCTCCAGGTAAAAAAGTTAAAATGAAATTTGTACTCACTAAGTGGGATATTGTGTACAACGCTGTTACCAGTCTCGGTATATCTGGTTTCTGGCACTACGTTAGCTGCTGAAACACCAGATAACTGGGCTACTGGAGAACCAACTTCTACTGTATCATCAGAAATAACATTCGATTCAACAGGAGATACGTTGGATACGGACTTTAAAGCGGATACATCTGATGCAACGCTGGAATGAGCTACATTGACTACAGGCGCGACATGCTGAACACTGGCTACGTGGTAGGCAGGAGCAACGTTGGCGACGTGCGATACACCGGATACGTGAGCAACGTTGGCAACGCTTACGGCCGGAACTACTGATGCTACTCTGGTTTCGACTGCTGGAGCCACTACGTGAGCAGTCCGGAATTGGGGAGTTTTTCTTACAACTGCGTTGAAGCCGTTGATATCGTCGGCGGTGTAATCTACGGTACGACGGGTGCCATCAGGGTCGTTCAAGGAATAGGAACCTGTAACAAAAATATTAATTTTAATATGGAAAATTACATTCCACCATCATAGACACAATAGCAAAAAAACTGGGATTAAATATTGATGTATCCACTCAAATTCTAGAACGAGTCATGCAAATTAATGAAAAATTGTTGTGGAATCTGAACCAGCTAGTCGCTTTCCTCTAAATGCCTTTTAATTGACTACAATAATGTTTTAAACAAATCATTGATCAAGCAATTTAAAGATTTGAATTAAATAATGTGCCAAGTGCTAAAAAATCGGTTTTGTTTCCAATTTATTATTATAGTGGGCTTAGTATACCCATATTATGATCGACATTTAGCTCACCACGTTTCCTTGTTTGTTTAGAGCATCAGTTTCACTACCAATTTTAATTATAACGTATGCCCTACCTAACAGTCTCTTAGCTAACTGCAAAAAGTGGCATGTCGTGTTTTTTGCTTGCTATTTGTAGTTATTATGAAGACTAGAGGTATGGAGGCAAATCGGCATGCTCAAAATACGATCCCAAAAATCACACGTCAATTGATCTTTTATAATTAACCGCATGGGCGCTGGTACGGTTTACGTAGTTTAACATACATGGCTCCTTATGGGAATTAAACATAATTTTGTCAAAATAATAAAAATAAACTTGTTTATAGCTAAATAAAGCACAGAACATACTGTTGATTTTAATTATTGTAAATACCTAAGTCTTTGTTTTAATTGCTAACTAAAGTAAGAAAAATCTGTTGGTATTAGGGGACATTCGGGTAAGAGTACGCACTTAAGGAATAAAAATTTATTAGGAAAGTATAAACAAAACAAATTCCAAAAAAATGTTACATAAAGAAAGGTCTACACTTTTAATACAAAATGGCACAGTAGAAATAAAAAACCAAAAACAGTTTTTCTAAAAAAAAAAAAAAAATTGAAATGCGCCCTCTTATCTGCCTAGTCGTACAAGAGTACGATTGAGATGCGGCCAAGAGTACGCAACATTTAAGCAGCACAGAAATCGCATGAAAAGGGTCCATAATCTTCGTAACTGGAACAGTGTACGTACCACCAATAGTTACACTGTGAACACATGACCCAATCGTCTCTGTTTTTAGCCATATTGCAATTAGAGCAGTGCACTTTACGGCTTTTTTCCTTTTTCTTTCCTTTCATATTGTTTTCTTGGTTCTCATTTTTTGTTGTTTTATTTTCAAAAACCTTTCTTTTGACTCTTCGAAGTTTCTTCTTTTTCCAATAGGGCATTTTTAAATGGGGACTCCGTCATAAGTTCCGATTTCTGAGACCGTCTTCGTCGTTTCTGTGTTTCAGTAGGTGCTGTAGGCAGTGGATAAATGTTTGATGGTGAGACAATAATTGTTTTAAATAAAGAATCTGAGTTAGTTTTACGGGCCGACAGAACATTGACAGTGCTTGTTAAAGGTTCGGCTGCACTTTTCAGGACAGCGCAAAGAAAGTTTTTACCTTTTACAAAAAGCATAAACTCAGTCTTTTCCAGCCATCTTTTTTTCTTAATTGAAACGATGACCAAGTCCGTTGAGGTCAGCATATTGAAATGCCAGACACCGAAGTTTCTTGGTTCGTATTCAGTAAAATCTGCAATCTAAGTCTAGACAATGATCCGCTAATTCTCTTTCCATTTCTTTTGTAAAAACTGGCTTAAACCCTCCAAGGCTGCTCAGTACAGTCCCCTATAAGAAAATATTGTATATTTAAATTTTCTTTTTTATTTTATTCTTACCGCCTTAAGTCTTTTTCTAAGAGTAGATTCCTTTGTATCCATAGATACTGCTACTTGTCTTTGGCTTTCTCCATTTGCAATTCTTTCCCTTGCTCTTCTAAGGTTTTCCTCAGTAAATATTAACTTTCGTTCAGTCTTCCTTGTATATCTTCATCTTCCCATTTCGCTACTATAATAAACGCCTAAAAAGTACACGAAATTTAAAATATCGCGCGCGCGCTCTTATCCGTTTATAAAATGCGTACTCTTAGCACATATCATAACAAAAAGTTGGCAACGCTGCTCGACTTGTTCTAGGACGCAAACGATTATCTAACCTATTAAAAATTTTAACCTATAAACTGCTTTTAAGAAACACACTTTCAATATTTAGAATAAAACAACAGCCAGCCGATATTTTTATGGAAAAATGTCAAAATAATTATAAGAAATTTGTTAAAAATGAATTCGTACCTGTATTTTTTTGATTCGGCACCGATTACTCCACAAACACAATCAGCAAGTCACTGACCTGGACACTATTACACGACGTAATATTATATTTCTATCTTACTCCAATGAGTAGATATTGCCACTGCGTACTCTTGTCAGATGCGTGCTCTTACCCGTCCTTACCCTAATTATAAATGAGTCTTTATGTTAAACATTATTTACTATTCATTATTTAATTTTATCTAAATAAAATGAAAATTAGGTATGATCAAATTTGAAAAGGTTTGTTAAATGGTGAAATTTGGTAGGTACAGTTTTGTGGTAATTTTGTATTCGACAGCTACAATTTCATCATCCTGGTGAATAGTTTCTTTAGCAATAGGTTCTAGTATTTTCTTCATTTTTTTATTTTAACAAATTCAGTTCGGTTCAATGGTGGTTTTCGTTTTTTCCTAATACTTGACAAGTATGAAGGGAGATTCGGGAATATACATGGTATTGCTTCGTTCTTTAATCTCGGCCTTTCCCTTTTTATTTTGTTAACAGTACCATTAGTTAAAATAGTCTCATCAAATTTTAAAATATCATCTTCTAAAAAGTGTAGTTCGCAAACAGAATTATAACTAGACAGCTTTATCAGCCCTAGGAATAACATGCTGCCATTGTTCTAAACGTTTAGGATCCTATAAAAAATCGACTGTACTTGTTGCTTTTCAAACTAACTCATCTCATATGTTTTTTGAGTCGTTGATTTCGAAAATCGGGGTGTCGAGACTGAAAAATTTGTGTAAAACCCCCCACACGCCAGAAACACCCCTCCCAACCGGTGGATTTTAGTGAAAAATTAAATATAAAAGACAAAAACTAAAAATGGAATATATTTTTATTAATACATATGAAATATGACTAAAGACTAAAAGAATACGAGTATCCGAAAGACATATAAGATGACTTAGTTCGCGAAACACCGTGACTGGTAATTTTTTTCGAAAATTCACCTCTTGGGAGGGGTGTTTCTGGCATGTGGGGGGTGTCACACAAATTTTCCAGTCTCTACACACCCCGATTTTTAAAATCAGCGACCCAAAAAACATATGAGATGAGTTGGTTTGCAAAACAACAAGTACAGTCAAAAAACATCCCTATCTAGGGGTTGTTTTTTGCAATTTTAGGAGTAGATCAACCATTGCTGCAAGTTTCAACCCCGATTTTCGTAATTAGTGCCCCAAAAAACATATAAGATGACTTAGTTTGCAAAACAACAAGTACAGTCGAAAAACATCCCTATTTAGGGGTGTTTTTGCAATTTTAGGGGTGTTTCATCCATTGCTGCCAGTTTTAACCCTTATTTTCGTAATCAGCGCTCCAAAATACGTAGGAGACAAGTGGTCTCGTCAAGTGCGGCGTTTCTCGACCTTTTACCGTTATTTTAAATGGACTATTTGTCGTTTTTTGTTACTCATTGTTACTTGTAGTCAGGTTCTTTATTTCAGCTCATTTTTATTCTTTTCACAAAATTTTACAAAAATCACTTTAATTTCCATTGACTTGCATAGAAAATAGATGTCGTTATTTTGCCACCCGCCAACTACAGTAGTTTTTGGAACTCCATAAAAATAGGGACGGAAATTTGAAATTTGACCAAGGCCGATTCGCCTTCTTATCTCTAGTCCTCATAATAGTTATGTACAGGGAAGGAGGTGAAAAACATGTACTATGTCCCGGTGGTAAAAGGTATCATCTAACATGTCAAATTTAAAATAATGTTTACCATCGATAGAGATTTTTATTTTTTGCTAGCAATGTAATAATTTGCGTCTAGACGTCTATAACAATAAAAAGTCACTTTGAAAGCATTTTCTATCGTCCGGCTTTGTTGTAAGGAAATTTCCAAACTTACACTAAAAGTAGCAAAATCAAACGACAAAAAATGTTTGCAAAGGATGTTTTTATTGTTATAGACGTCTAGAAGCAAATTATTTTATTGTCAGCAAAAAACGAAAAACTCCATCGATGTGATAAATTATTTAAAATTTGACAGGTTAGACGATAACTCCTACCACCGGGACATAGTACATGTTATTCATCCCTCTCCCATATAAAACTGTTAGATAGTGACAGATATAGGTGCCTCATTATCGCTTACAAGCCTCGAAGTTGGTTGAAAAGTACATCGAAGTTGAGCAGAACGGAAGAAAATTTACGAGCCACTCTTAGGAATAACACATGGAAAACCGAATTTATGAAAGAAAATAAATAATAATTAGTGTGCACACATTTTGCTGTAGAGATGGCGGATAAATGGCTTCACGCGGGTATTTATCATCAGAACCTTACCAAATGGTCACTTCCCAAAAATAAGGCATCTAAAGACACCTTTCGGCAACACCTGCCGTTTTGTAGCTTCCAAAAACCAGAACAAAGTTTAAAAATAAAAATATTAACACCACTAAATAACAATAAAATATTAGATTTAAAAAAAAAACTAATATACGACCCCATTTTGAATATTCAACTCACTTTTTCATTCCGTGACGTCACTGCGTCCTTAGCAACCGTGATGAGGCCAGACAACTAGTGACATTGATATTAACCGTCAACAAAAATCAAAAGAAGACTTCTTAGTTACAAAATATATAATTTGAACTATTTTTGATATAGAACAAGAAAAATGAATACGTAACCATAGGTTGCTTGGTCAATAGGTAAATAATGTTTGTGAAACGGGTTGTTCTGGCTAATATACGGGTAGAGGTATCTTAACCCTAAAAGTTAACCACCGATTGGAAACTATTTGTAATTGTAGCAAATAATAAAAGT